AGGAGGTCTGACTGTCCCACGGCTGGGTTATGTTCACATGCGGAGAAGCTGCAGCTCAGAGCCACACAGTGTTACAGGAAGACTAGGGGCTGTAGGGTCAGAGAGACCTGGGCTCAGATTCCAACTGCTTTACTGCTTCCAAGGAACTCAACACAATCAAAACCCCCCAAAACCCAAATCCTCTGCCATGAGGAATTCTGACTCCTAGTAATACTTTAAGACAGAGTGGAACTGTCTCCTTGTGTTTCTGAGGTTCTAAGTCTTCACAGAAGCAAACTGTCCTATTTATCTCTTGTGGGTTTGAAACAAATACCAAGAGACAACTGGGAAAATCTGATAATGGACTGGATATTAACCAACCAATCAAACAAAATCTCAAACCCACGGCCACTGAGTTGATTCTGACTCACAGTGAGGCTCCGTTATGTTTCCAAGGCTGCAAATCTTTACAGAAAAAAGACTGACATCTTTCTCCTGTGCTGTGGGCTAGTGGACTTGAACTGCTGACCTTTAAGTTAGCAGTGCAACACCTAATGTCTTAAGCTACCAGGATTCCTTACAATGAGTAGTAGAAAATAATTAAGAATGATTGCTACATTTGTTAAACATAATGATCACATGATTGGTTTTTATTTTTAAAAGGTTCCTACTGGGGGTGGAAGAAGGAAGAAGAAATCACTAGGACAGCAGAGATTAGTGGGGGCGAAGGAGTAAAGAAACAGGTAAAGTGCAGTGGGGACTTGGGGACATGGGGAGATAAAAGTAACAGATCAATAGTAATTCATTATATAGGGCACAATGTACAGATATGACTGTATAAAACAAAATGTACATGAATGAAACAATGGTTGTATATGAATGATTATATAAACATGAACGATGGTATAAAGAAAGAAGACATTTTTTAAAAGGTTCCTACTGCCCATAAGGTGTTAACATGTAACTTTACAGAGGGAAAATCCTCTATTTATTGGTTTTAGGAAGGAGGTCAGCAGAGATGAAACAAGACCAGCAGAATTCTGTTAAGAACTGAGTTGAAGAGTGGACATAAGAGACTTTATTATAACTCTTTCCCCCTGAGTGTACACCTGATATTTTCTACCACGAAAAAAGGTTTTTTTAAAAATCCCAGTTTCACTCATTCTGAGGAGCTAGCATAAGATTTTGTGAGAAGTGTGGATTAAAGAATTGTTTTTTTACTCTCAGTTCTTTTCAAAGGAAGATAGAACACATTTAAATAG